GGCTGAGACTTGTTATAGCACTTGCATATCATTGCTCTTTTGTTGATTTGGATTGCTTCCATTGTCCTCATTTGTAAATCGCTTTGGATAAAAGCGTCTGCTAAATGACTAAATCCAGTTGGGGGCGGTAATGCACCTAAGCTGGTTTTCCAACCGCTAATAAACCATAGAAGAAGATGAAGACGAAGCAGCAACAGCAACAGAAGAAGAAGAATGAGGACTAATAAAATGTGTTAAAAAGAAGTAGTCTGAACGCTGGAAGTAAATGAATCGTCGGATTGAAAGGAAGCTGCTTTTTTAAAACAATATTTCCAAGACCCAGTAATAAAGACGGTTCAGGTATGTGATCTGTTTTTTTTTTTCACAGGAAGGTCACAGGAAAGCTCCAATAACTCTTTAGTAACAATTAATGAAAATGAAAATGAAACGAAATTGCGCTGACTCATCACCATAATAAAAGCGAATTGACAAATGTGCACCTCTAACACTAGCTTGATCTATTCTTTTTCTGTTCTATCTGTTTTATTTTAATTTTTATATAATTTATATATATATTTTTTTTAAAACTTGCTACGTGTACTACGTTAAGCTAACTGAGATTTGTTATAGCACTTGCATATAATTTCTCTTTTGTTGATTTGGATTGCTTCCATTGTCCTCATTTGTAAATCGCTTTGGATAAAAGCGTCTGCTAAATGACTAAATCCAGTTGGGGGCGGTAATGCACCTAAGCTGGTTTTCCAACCGCTAATAAACCATAGAAGAAGATGAAGACGAAGCAGCAACAGCAACAGAAGAAGAAGAATGAGGACTAATAAAATGTGTTAAAAAGAAGTAGTCTGAACGCTGGAAGTAAATGAATCGTCGGATTGAAAGGAAGCTGCTTTTTTAAAACAATATTTCCAAGACCCAGTAATAAAGACGGTTCAGGTATGTGATCTGTTTTTTTTTTTCACAGGAAGGTCACAGGAAAGCTCCAATAACTCTTTAGTAACAATTAATGAAAATGAAAATGAAACGAAATTGCGCTGACTCATCACCATAATAAAAGCGAATTGACAAATTTGCATACTCCACGTGTCGGGAATCGGCGGTACTGTGTAATTATTATTGTTTAATCTAATACATATTCATTCTGTACAGAACTTAGTAATATTTCAAAACATACTGAAATGTTTTTATACAGTGGAGAGACGTAATTAGGCGCAAATTTAGCCATGGAGCGAACACGGAGTGATTGTTATGTTAATAACAATAAATTGTTAGGTTGCACTTGCATGGGGCCTGTCCCAATACACACACTTGCCAATAAGTTTCTATATATTTGTCATTAGGGCTTTTCACACCTGAAATAGTTAACCCTGGGTCATTCTAGTTTCACACCACTCATAATTTACCCGGTGTTAATCCTGGGAAGTCATAAGATGACATTTCACACTGTAGATTCCTAAACCCCAGGTTAATGTTCTTATTTGCATATTTGTGGTGTCAGTGTCATTGACCAGATGAACGCAGCACACTACGTGTTTACATAATCACCCTAGCATTGGGCATTCTCATATTATATATTGCTTACAGTACTATCAAGTTTTTCAGAATAGACTTTTCGGACAATAAGTGTAAGAAGGAAAGAAAAAAAAGAAAGGTCTCTTCTTTACACTAATCTGTGACATCTCGAACTCTGAAATGTTTACATTGTGCTGTGTTTCCGTGACTCTGTGGTTTCATTTCTCCCAGGTAAAAAGCAGGGCTTAGAACTACGATAACCCAGGGTTAATTAAGCACAGTGTGAAAGGCCTTGTTTTGAAGTAACTTCTGTTCATCTTTATGTCTTAGATTCCTTTTTGAGGAGTCGTTCAAGTTCAGACCATGAGGCCACCGCCATGATGAAGGCTCAGTTCATGAGCTTATGGGACGGACTGGATACTGACTACAATTGCCAAGTACAATTAAGAATTTTTAAAAAAAATTTTAGTGATTACTGGTTTGGTCAGTGACCCAAGATTGTGATTGTTTTCTGCACTAAGGTCATAATAATGGGAGCCACCAATCGGCCACAAGATCTTGATTCTGCTATACTCCGAAGGATGCCCACAAGATTCCACATCAATCAGCCTGTAAGTCCACTCCAAATATCTTTATAAGGTTTAAATTAAAAATGTAATTTTACTGTTGAATCGGTAAACTCCGTAGTGCTTTTTATAAATGATCATTTGTCGTGTGTGTATTTAGAATATCAAGCAGAGGAAAGACATATTAAAACTGATCCTGGAGAATGAGAATGTAAGTATTTTATTAACTCAACTGAATGGCTATTGAAAGTTGCAAGTGCTGAAAGGATAATTTTTCCTTTTCTGAAGGTGGAGTGTGCTGTGGACTTTGGTGAAATTGCAAAACAGACTGATGGGTTCTCAGGAAGTGACCTCAGAGAGATGTGCCGAGATGCTGCTCTGCTTTGTGTGCGTGAATTCGTGCACCAAGAAAGGTAAGTAAACAAAGGGCTTCAGACTCAGCACAAAACGTATCAAGCTTTTTTAAAAAACCTTTATCTGAAGTTTTGGGCTTTGTTGTCACATTTACATGATGTCTGGCATAAACAGCTTAAAGGGGTCATATGATGCGATTTCAAGTTTTCCTTTCTCTTTGGAGTGTTACAAGCTGATTGTTCATAGATAAGATCCCTGAAGTTGCAAAGACTAAAGTCTCAATCACAATGCACTGGGTCAGCTGGCCAATCAGAGCAGACTGCGCTTGTCAGAAGGAGGGACTTTGTAGAAAACGACGTGTTTGAGAGAGGCGGGGCATAGAGGACCTACAATAATGTACAGTATTTGAAAAATAATGTTTTTTTTTAACATTAAAGCATGTCAACATATTATGTTACACCAAATACACAAAATAATGATCTTTAAAAAAGCATCATATGACCCCTTTAAATTTGAATCATTGAAACTGATCTACGCCGCCGCGTCCTTATTAATTCTCCTCCATCCCATGACAGTCCAGATGAAGACTTCATCCGCCCAATCAGGCAGGAAGACTTGCAGAGGGCAATCGAGAAGATGAGGAAATCCAAATCTGCTGGAGTGCATGAGGCGTTTATGCATGTACCACTGGACTGAATGTGATGCTGCTGTTTTAAAAAAAAAAAAAACAAGAACCTAGATTTGGTGTGTTTCTCTTATTGGTGGCATATCGTCAAGTTTTGCAAAAGGGGGAACTCAGGATTTATAAATGGTAGAATGGAATCTTTTTTTGCACTGTAATGTCCATAATGTTTTTGCCATTCAATCAATGAGCCTTATTTAAAGAAACAAGAATGAATTTCTGAGTAAATCATGTGTAAAACCATTCTTAAGTAAATTGTCGCTTCAATGGGACAGTTTATAAAAGAATGAACGATTCACATTAAAATTCGTTCTGCATGTTTCAAGAATAAGGCCCATTGTGTTTGTCTTCATAGGTTTGCTTTGGCTTGTGTGGTTTTGTTTGTTCTTTAAAACCCTGTGAGAGGTTTGTGTAGATGGGCAACAGTGTAGTTACTATTTCCAGTTATGTATAAGGCATCTATTATTTTTTACATCATCAACAATGTAACAATTCAGCTGATTTGTGAGCACAAAAAACAAAGTGTGTTCATTAACACAATTTTAACTTGGATCAACTTCACCGGTTTGTTTTCCCCCAGCGAGTGAATGATTTGATTGAGATGCATTTACAGATTTATAAGCCATTTATATTGAATAAGATGTTTAAGCGTTGAGTAGAGGTTATGTGATGGCATGTTGTATAGATATTTATTTGCGAAACCTTAAATATGCTTGCACAGAATATTTGGGGCCAGTGCCAAGCCGCTGCTGTTAGGTTTGTACTTGTCTGTCAGGTGTTAATTTTGGGGGTGGAGTGGGCGAAGGAGACTTCAAAGTGGAAAGAAAAAGTATTCTCCTGGAGAAACCTGTCTATGGACTGAACAACCATTTTAGATTGCCAGCAATACAATTGTACAGTTGTATACAAGTATTTTTCAGTTATTAGGTTTCCTAATTCGCAATAGTCCGCTGCTCTTTTCGGTCTAAATGTGTTTAGAAGTCAGAATATGTTCGAAATGTTTTGTTTACACTGTAGAAAAATTGGATGACAATGGTTTTGTCTTAATGAAGTTTATTGGAATGACTGCCCGATGCACATTACATCAAATACTGCAAGAAACAGTGTAAATCTCACAAGTTTGTACAAAACGTAGAAAGAAGTAAATACATTTCCTGTAAGATAATAAATATGTTAGGTTGGTCCGTTTAGAAAATGGTAAGACAATAAATATGCTCTTGTTCCTTCACGTTGGATTCCTCAAGAGTTTCATGTTTATGCATTCAGCACAAACCTTTCACATTCATGCGTCACTCTTTACAGTAACTCGTTCATTTGGGAATGTAACAATGCCACATTTACATTAAGGCGCACTGAAGTGCACTGCAAGACAATATTGTGTTAATGTCAAATACATCTGTGGTTATACTCTGCTGCCAGTACTGAATGTTTGTTTGTTTTTTTTATTCTTATAAAGAACGTTATAGGATTATTCTGTATCTTACGGTGGCCGAGAAGTGCAAAGCAAATCACAATTCTGAAAACAGTCAAAAACCAAGTCTCAAACTATACCTACCTTTTCCGGTTTGCCTGATTTGTCATTGTGTTTTCTGACTTGTTATAATGTTTTCTGAATTGTTGTTGTGCTTTCTGAATTATTTTGTTTTTTAGACTTGCATTTGCGTTTGTAATTTGTTATTTTGTTTTCAGAATTGTGATTTGCTTTGCACTTCTTGGCAACCGTAGTATCTACAATGAGTACACTTATCATAATCCAAATAAAGCTCCAGTTGAGGTAGGCAAAATATTGGTCCTATTACTGTCAGGCATACTTCGATCTCCTTGATCAGACTAAGTCAATAACACCACTGAAACAGCAGTAGCTGTGTAGTTTGATCCATCTATGCTTTTATACGGGGTGAGCTCAGGGAACATAATACACTGTATTTTAAAGTAATTTGCAGGACATAAATATAGATAGCATTTATCTAAAAATGTGTAGTAGATATGAGTAATCAAGATTTATTATTATTTTTTAAATATTACTACAATGTAGGACTGTAGTATATAATGCATATTTCTATCAACCTATTTCTATCAAATCTAATGAAATAGAGCTTTACTGCATGTTTGCATGCAGTTCCTTGTGTTCACTGGTCCTTCTGTAGAGAACTGTAGTACTCGGCTAGGACTTTCCACGCTTTTGGGGCCATGAAACCATCAGGGGGGTTCTCCCCGCTGCGGGCAAGGCTCCGCATTTTGGTCCCCGAGATGAACTCAAATTCACCATGTCTGAAAAACAAAAAAGCAGTTGACTTGAGCTTCAGTTTCAACAACAGTCCCTGGTGAAGCAGCTGTGAGCTGTGAACAATTCTTGTAAAAATTAGTAAAATATTATATATACAAATTAATGTAGTGTAGTGATTTTAATACTTATTCTGCATGAAAAATAATGCATAAAAAGCTTCAAAATAAACAAAACAGTAGACAGAGAAATATTTTAGGTGTTTTTTTTTTCTCCACACTAAATACTATTTAAAGCTAAATGTGACATTCATTATAATGGGTTTTTGTGACAATTGTTCTAGATCTATTTTACCAAAAATTATTCAGCTGTTAAATTTAAGTTAATACCGATTAAATTAATTAATACCAAATACAAAAAAAAAGAATTTGCAAAACAGAAAAGTTCAAGTTCTTTAAAGTACGTTCATTTATACACTCAATACTTGGTCGGGGCTCCTTTAGCAGTACTTCAGCAGTGCCACACCTCACTGATGCTGTCATTTGTGCTTAAGGAGCGCCCACCAAGTATTGAGTGCATAAATGAACATCCTTTAAAGAACTTGAGCTTTTCTGTTTTGCAAATCCTTTTTTTTATTGATCTTAGGAAATATTCTAATGTTTTGAGATGCTGGATTTTTGACTTTCATGAGCTGTAAGCTCTAAACATCAAAATTAAAACAAAAACTTCGAAATGTTTTACTTTACCTGTAATGCATCTGAAATATATGAAAGTTTCACTTTTTTAAAAATAAGTTACAAAAAAATTAACTTTTTCACAATATTCTAATTTTTTTAGATGCACCTGTAATTCCAAGGCTCTAGGCAAGGCAAGGCAAGTTATTTATATAGCACATTTCATACACAATGGTAATTCAAAGTGCTTTACATAAAATAA